AGGTGTCAATCCATATCTGCCAAGTGACCCTATGTAGGGGGACCAGTCCCTATTCTGCTCTGTGTCCGTGTGCATCAGGGGCTCTGAGGACAAGTGTCAATCCATATGTCAAGGTGTCAATATATCATATGTCAGGTGTCAATCCATATTCATTGTGATTTAGGAATGTTAGGTGATTTCTGCCCTTTATGGATTAAAACCAGACTCTGTATCAACTGTGTAATTTTCCATGGGAGTTTTGCCATGGATCCCCCTCCGGCATGCCACAGTCCAGGTGTTAGTCCAGGTGTTAGTCCTTGAAACAACTTTTCCATCCCTATTGTGGCCAGAAAGAGTCCCTGTGTGTTTTAAAATTCGCCTCCCCATTGAAGTCAATGGCGTTTCGGGCGGTTCGCCGGTTCGCGAACATTTGCGGAAGTTCGCGTTCGTCGTTCGCGAACGGAAAATTTCGGGTTCGCGACATCACTAATGCAGAGTGTGTTTGTGTATGTGATGCAGAGCCTTGGTGGGGGGTGGGCATTTTTATTATTATTTTTTTAATTATTATTATTTTAATATTATTATTATTTTGTTATATTATTAATATTTTATTTTTATATTATTATTTTCTTAATATTATTATTATTATATTTTTATTTTATTATTATTTAAATTTGTATTTTTTTTTTTTGTCCCCCCTCCCTGCTTGTTAGCTGGCCAGGGACGGGGGCTCTCATTCTCTGGTGGTCCAGTGGTGTGCACTGTGTAGGAGGGGGCTGGCAGGAAGCGTTTACTTACCTTTCCTGAAACTCCTGTCAGCTCCCTTCTCTCTCCTCTGGTCCGGTAAGCTCCCCTGTCAGCTCCCCTGTCAGCTCCCTTTGAAGTCTTGCGGTCTGAGTGCCGCGTGGAGCATTGCCATGGTAACCCGTGGCAACGCTCTGACCCTGAGGCTCTCGCGAGATTTACAGTGGAGCTGACAGGAGCTGCAGGAAAGGTAAGTTACAGCTCTCTGCCAGCCCCCAACAGGACCGCCGGGCTTGTAATGAGCCCGGCGGTCCTTGTCTGTATTATGGCAATGTAAGTTGCCATAATACAGACATTGACTCGAGTATAAGTCGACTTTTACTCGAGTATATACGGTAGCTTTACAAGATAATTCCCTTAATAAAGCATACGAATCCCAAAACATCAGCCGAAGTCAAGAAGAAGGATACAACAGAACTGCCTTTTAATGACCACACACAGGCTGTTATGCAAGTCCCCATGAAAGGGGACATCCCACAGGGAGGGACACAGTATAACCAATCGGTTACAGGAAAACAGGAAAACACACCCAGCACAAACATACAATTCCCTCCTCTAGTCCTGGATATAATCAAGTCTGATAAAGTAATAACTTGATTATCTCCAGGCAGAAAAATCACAATTTTCCCCAATATTCAGAACACCCTTTAGACATGGGGTATCCCCACAAATAATATGTCCTCTGATAGTCCCGGTCTGGGTCTGACCCACATATTCAAATTTCACCCAGATCGGTTCAGGGGTTCTCAAAAAGTGTGGAAGTTCTTTGTGACTGGCTAACCGCGAGTCGGCTGACCAAAATAGTTCCAGGAGTTTGGGTGGTTTTGCCGGTCTATTCAGTTAAGTGGTAAAAACCAAATGATTCCACGAATGGATTCCCCTGGCTTTTAGCAGCGATTGTTCCCCTCATTTGAATGCACAAAAATACCGAGTAGCGCTCTTCTAGCTATTCAGGAAATAGAGATCCAGCGTTCGCTTGTTGAGACTGGTGTTCGGGAAGTCGAGTGTCCGATTTTAGTTCCAGACAGTCGACGACCAAGTCCCGCTGCCATTGTTCGCCGGAAAAAAGATGGCCGCCGTTTTCTCAGCCACGTGGAATTTGGTAGTACAAATGCTGGCTGCACAGATAGAGGGTACAATTGAAGCATTCTTTGAAGTTTAACGAGCCAGGGGGTGGTCTCTGTTCGGTAGTTATATCTACCGAATGAATATGGAAGAAATAGTACACATAAAGAGGGATTTCTTCACAAACACCATAAGCCTAATCCATTCGACAAGCCCCATATACTGCACCATAGCAGGGAAAAAGGCATGAACAGTGTTTTTAGCCCAAAGTTCACCACAGGGCCATAGTCACAGGGCAGGAGGCTGGCAAACAGGCCCCTCCAAAAACCAGTGGCGTGGTCATTTTCGCCACACTCCACCTAATGCTGATTGGCACGATTTGGTTCATGCCATTTTGGCTGATTGGTTGTTGCTTGGTTTAGGCGCAAAATTTAAATTCACCGGACTAAACCAAGCAACACCATGGAACTAATTTTGGGGATGTACAGAGCCTTGAGACCCAGACCTTCGATGCTGATATCTCCGGCTCTGTACATCCGATCGCCCCGCTTTTTGCAGGGGTCCTAAGGGGGACCCGGGGCCAATGGTGTATCCTGGTTTTGTGATGCCCTAGGCAGGACAAAACTCAGGTGCCCCCCTCCCCCCGCGCCACCCCCACCCAACCCTTCCCCCACGCCCCACCTTCTAAATACACACACACACAGTCAGACACACACACACAGTCAGACACAAACACACACACAGTCAGACACATACACAGACACACACAGTCAGACACATACACAGACACAAACACAGTCAGACACAAACACACACACACAGTCAGACAAATACACAGACACAAACATAGTCAGACACAAACACACACACACACAGTCACAAACACACACAGTCAGACACAAACACACAGTCAGACAAAAACACACACACACAGTCAGACACAAACACACACACACACACAGTCAGACACAAACACACACACACACAGTCAGACACAAACAGACACAGACACAAACACACACACACAAAGACACAAACACACACAAACAGTCAGACACAAACACACACACACAGTCAGACACAAACACACACACACACAGTCTGACACAAACACACCGACACACAATCAGACACACACACAATCACTCACATTAACTTTTTTTTTTAATTTAACCCCCCTTTGGAACTTTGGAATTTTCCCACGCTGTGTGAAATGACACAGAGCACTGTGATTGGATGGATTTCAAGCCATCCAATCACAGTGCTCTGTGTCATTTTACACAGCGTGGGAAAGTTCTTTTGAATTTTCCCACGCTGTGTAAAATGACAAAGAGCACTCTGATTGGCTTAAACCCACCAATCAGAGTGTTCTTAGCCTAATTGCAGGGCGGAGCTCAGTCTGCGCGGAGCCCTCCATGGGTGAATATGGATTTTTTTTTGCGCTCGGGTTTTTTCTTTTTCGTCAGGTTTTTTTTTTTTTTAGTTCGACGGTTATGATGGTTTTTTATTTGGCCTTTTTTGGGGCTGAAAAATGAAGATTTGAGAAAAAAGAAGACGTTGAATGGTAAGTTTAATTTTATTTTACAGGTTAGTTATTTTATTCCCCCCTCACTATTTTTTAGGGTGTGGGGGGTAGGTAGGGAATTTTTATTTGGGGGGGGTGGGTGACTAGGGGCTTGAGGACCCCTAGTCACCTGGGGGGGGGAGGACAGTAGGTCCCCCCCCCATTATCTTTATGGCCCCCACCCACCACCCAGGGGTGGGGGCCGGAAGGGGGGTGGACAGTAGGTCCCCATTATCAACTTATGGCCCCCATCCGCCCGGCGCAGGGGTGCGGGGGCGAGAAGAGGTAATAGGTCCCCCACCCTTATTGATGGGGCCCCACCCACGCTCAGGGGTGGGGCTGAGAGACAATAGGTCCCCTTGTGTCATTTTATAGCAAGCCCCCACCCACGCTCAGAGGGGTGGGGGCGAGAAACAATAGGTCTCAAAGCGGGTGTGTCCAGGCTCACCCAGTGGATGCACTGTGCCCAGTGCCACCACTCACTCACCTGGTGTCACAATAGCTTGCATTTAAAAACAAAAAACTTTTTCACTGTTATAGATTGAATAGCAGTTAGTTTTCTACTCAAAGCGGGTGTGTCAGGCTCACGGATACTGTGCCCAGTGCCACCATAAAACTCACTGAATCACAATAGCTTGCATTTTAAAACAAAAAAACGTTTTTCACTGTTATAGATTGAATAGCAGTTAGTTTTCTCAAAGCGGGTGTGTCAGGCTCACAGTGGATACTGTGCCCAGTGCCACCACTCACTCACTGGTGTCACAATAGCTTGCATTTAAAACCCAAAAACTTTTTCACTGTTATAGATTGAATAGCAGTCAGTGTCCTTAAAGCGGGTGTGTCAGGCTCACAGTGGATGCTGTGCCCAGTGCCACCACTCACTCACTGGTGTCACAATAGCTTGCATTTAAAACCCCAAAACTTTTTTCACTGTTATAGATTGAATAGCAGTTAGTTGTCTCAAAGCGGGTGTGTCAGGCTCACAGTGGATACTGTGCCCAGTGCTACCACTCACTCACTGGTGTCACAATAGCTTGCATTTAAAACCAAAAAACTTTTTTCACTGTTATAGATTGAATAGCAGTTAGTTGTCTCAAAGCGGGTGTGTCAGCCCTACAGCGTGTACTCTGCCAACCTCTGCCAGTGCACAGTGCCACTCATATCTGGTGTCACAGTAGCTTGCACGCATAGTACCACTAATCCCAAAAAAAATGACAGGCAGAGGCAGGCCACCCCGCAGGGGCCATCGTGGTCGTGGTGCTGTGATTCCCTTTTGCCCTAGAATAATGCCCAGTTTTCAGAGGCCAGGTACCCTGAACTTGAAAAGTTCTGAGGACATAGTTGACTGGCTAACACAGGACACCCAATCTTCTACAGCTTCCGCTCGGAACCTTGACGCAACATTCTCCTCCAGCTTAGCTTCGGGCACCTCTCAAGATACCACTCACCCGCCTGCCGCCACCACCAACACTAGCACCACAGCCGCTTCACTTGGTATGTCAGAGGAGTTATTTACACATCCATTTGAAGAAATGAGTGATGCGCAACCATTATTGACAGAGGATGTAGATAACAGGGATATGTCTCAATCAGGCAGCATTACACATGTACGGTGTGATGATGATGATGATGTTGTACCCGCTGCTGCTTCCTTTGCTGAGTTGTCAGATACAAGTGAAGCGGTTGATGATGACGATGCGTCCATGGATGTCACGTGGGTGCCCGCTCGTCAAGAAGAAGAACAGGGCGAAAGTTCAGATGGGGAGACAGGGAGGAGGAGGAAACGAGTTGGAAGCAGGGGGAGGTCGTCGCAAGGAGCTAGTAGCACAGTCAGACAGCATGCATCGACACCCGGGGTCAGCCCGACAGCACGCCAATCAACGCATGCTGTGTCCACCACCAGAATGCCGTCATTGCAGAGCTCAGCAGTGTGGCAATTTTTTTGTGTGTCTGCCTCTGACAACAGCGATGCCATTTGCAATCTGTGCCAAAAGAAACTGAGTCGTGGGAAGTCCAACACCCACCTAGGTACAACTGCTTTGCGTAGGCACATGATCGCACATCACAAATGCCTATGGGATCAACACATGAGTACAAGCAGCACACAAACTCAAAGCCGCCATCCTCCTCCTGGTCCAGCATCTTCAGCCACGTCAACCACTGCTGTCCTCCTTGCCCCTTCTCAACCATCCGCCACTCCGTCTCTCGCCTTGAGCAGTTCCTGCTCATCTGCCCACAGTCAGGTGTCTGTCAAGGACATGTTTGAGAGTAAGAAGCCAATGTCAGAAAGTCACCCCCTTGCCCGGCGTCTGACAGCTGGCTTGTCTGTACTATTAGCCCGCCAGCTTTTACCATACAAGCTGGTGGAGTCTGAGGCGTTCAAAACATTTGTAGCTATTGGAACACCGAAGTGGAAGGTACCCGGACGAAATTTCTTTTCACAAAAGGCAATCCCCAACCTGTACTCGATTGTGCAAAAGGAAGTAATGGCATGTCTGGCACACAGTGTTGGGGCAAGGGTCCATCTGACCACTGATACCTGGTCTGCAAAGCATGGTCAGGGCAGGTATATCACCTACACTGCGCATTGGGCAAACCTGCTGACGGCTGCCAAGCATGGAATGCGTGGCTCTGCAGAGGAGTTGGTGACACCGCCACGACTTGCAGGCAGGCCTGCTGCCACCTCCTCTACTCCTCCTACTCCATCCTCTTCCATAACGTCCTCGGCTGAGTCCTCTTCTGCTGCTGCGTCTTGCTCCACATCAACGGCACCCCCACAGCTCCCCAGGTACTATTCCACATCCCGGATACGGCACTGTCACGCCGTCTTGGGTTTGACTTGCTTGAAAGCAGAGAGTCACACCGCACAAGCACTCCTGTCCGCCCTGAACGCACAGGTGTAAAAGTAGCTGACTTCACAGCAACTGGAGATCGGCAAAGTGGTTTGTGACAATGGAACAAATTTGTTGGCGGCATTGAAGTTGGGCAAGTTGACACATGTGCCGTGCATGGCACATGTGTGTAATCTGATCTTACAACGCTTTGTGCATAAGTACACAGGCTTACAGGACATCCTGAAGCAGGCCAGGAAGGTGTGTGGCCATTTCAGGCGTTCCTACACGGCCATGGCTCACTTTGCCGATATCCAGCGGCGAAACAACATGCCAGTGAGGCGCTTGATTTGCGACAGCCCGACGCGTTGGAATTCAACACTCCTAATGTTCGACCGCCTGCTCCAACAAGAAAAAGCCGTTAATGAATATTTGTATGACCGGGGTGCTAGGACAGCCTCTGGGGAGCTGGGAATTTTTTTGCCACGTTACTGGACGCTCATGCGCAATGCCTGTAGGCTCATGCGTCCTTTTGAGGAGGTGACAAATTTAGTCAGTCGCACCGAAGGCACCATCAGCGACATCATACCATTTATTTTCTTCCTGGAGCGTGCCCTGCGAAGAGTGCTGGATCAGGCTGTAGATGAGCGTGAAGAGGAAGAGGAAGAGTTGTGGTCACCATCACCACCAGAACCAGCCTTATCAGCATCGCTTGCTGGACCTGCGGCAACGCTGGAAGAGGATTGTGAGGAAGAGGAGTCAGAGGAGGAATGTGGCTTTGAGGAGGAGGAGGAAGACCAACCACAACAGGCATCCCAGTGTGCTCATTGTCACCTATCTGGTACCCGTGGTGTTGTATGTGGCTGGGGGGAAGAACATACCTTCATTGAGATCACTGAGGAGGAGGAACGGGAAATGAATTGCTCGGCATCCAACCTTGTGCAAATGGGGTCTTTCATGCTGTCGTGCCTGTTGAGGGACCCTCGTATAAAAAGGCTGAAGGAGAACGACCTGTACTGGGTGTCCACGCTACTAGACCCCCGGTATAAGCAGAAAGTGGCTGAAATATTACCAAATTACAACAAGTCGGAAAGGATGTAGCATTTGCAAAATAATTTAAAAAGTATGCTTTACACAGCGTATAAGGGTGATGTCACAGCACAACGGGAATCTAACAGGGGAAGAGTTGAAAGTAATCCTCCTCCTCCCACGACCATGCCGGCAAGGACAGGACGCTTTACAGACATGTTGTTGATGGAGGACATGCAGAGCTTTTTAAGTCCTACGAATCGCCACAGCCCTTCGGGATCCACCCTCAGAGAACGACTAGACCGACAGGTAGCAGACTACCTCGCCTTAACTGCAGATATCGACACTCTGAGAAGCGATGAACCCCTTCACTACTGGGTGTGCAGGCTTGACCTGTGGCCTGAGCTATCCCAATTTGCAATAGAACTTCTGGCCTGCCCCGCTTCAAGTGTCCTGTCAGAAAGGACCTTCAGTGCAGCAGGAGGTATTGTCACTGAGAAGAGAAGTCGCCTAGGTCAAAAAAGTCTAGATTACCTCACCTTTATTAAGATGAATGGATGGATCCCGATGGGACTGATAGTGGGCGATACATCCGACTAAAAAAGGCCTGATGAGATGAGCTGCCTTGGGCTAAAAATGGTCCACACGCTGCTGTATTTTAGCTCTGAATGCCGGTTGACTTGCGTGACTCATCCGCCACCAACTAGGGTTCAAGCCGCAATGTTTTACGGCAGTGCTCCCAAACCTTTTTATAGCCGCGGACCGGTAAACGTTTGATCCACGTACCGGTCCGCGGCCCGGGGGTTGGGGAACACTGTTTTAGGGCACTTTCTGCCTGGGAAACAAACATCAATTCTTCAACAATACCTAATTTATCAGGCATGTGTACATGCCTAATTTTTTGGGCCTCTGGTGCTGCACTGTGGTTTCAAAAACCAAACCAAAAAAAGGCACATAACAGGGATTAAACTGATAAGAATAATACTACTTAACACACCTTATAATAATGCAGAGAGAGGCAACGCAGAGAGAGGAGTCTGAAGAAGAGGAGTCAGAAGAGGAAGGTGGCTTTGAGGAGGTGGAAGACCAAACACAGCAGGCGTCCCAGGGGGCTTGTTGTCACCTTTCGGGGACCCTTGGTGTTGTACGTGGCTGGGTGGAGGAAGAGACCTTCAATGACATCAGTGAGGACAAGGAACGGGACATGGCTAGCTTGGTATCCAACCTTGTGCAAATGGGGAGTTTGCAGTTGTGCAAATGGACTGTTTGCGGTTGTTTGCGGTGTGTTAAACGGGGAGTTTGGTCTGTCACTGTGAAGCGGGCGTAACCCTTACACTACCTGATCGATACAACATCATACAGTAGGTCCCCCCCTCATTATTTTTATGGCCCCCACCCACCGCTCACGGGTGGGGGCGGGCGGGAGGACAGTAGGTCCCCCCTTATCCTTATTTACTGAATATTCCCCTGTATAACCATGTTTGGCATTTAGTGAATATTCCCTATTCTGCTCTGTGTCAGTGTGTATCAGGGCTCTGAGGACAGGTGTCAATCCATATCTGCCAAGTGACCCTATGTAGGAAGAACAGTCTCTATTCTGCTCTGTGTCAGTGTGTATCAGGGGCTCGGAGGACAGGTGTCAATCCATATCTGCCAAGTGACCCTATGTAGGGGAACAGTCTCTATTCTGCTCTGTGTCAGTGTGTATCATGGTCTCTGAGGACAGGTGTCAATCCATATCTGCCAAGTGACCCTATGTAGGAGGAACAGTCTCTATTCTGCTCTGTGTCAGTGTGTATCATGGTCTCTGAGGACAGGTGTCAATCCATATCTGCCAAGTGACCCTATGTAGGAGGAACAGTCTCTATTCTGCTCTGTGTCAGTGTGTATCATGGTCTCTGAGGACAGGTGTCAATCCATATCTGCCAAGTGACCCTATGTAGGGGGAACAGTCTCTATTCTGCTCTGTGTCAGTGTGTATCATGGTCTCTGAGGACAGGTGTCAATCCATATCTGCCAAGTGACCCTATGTAGGGGGAACAGTCTCTATTCTGCTCTGTGTCAGTGTGTATCAGGGGCTTTGAGGACAGGTGTCAATCCATATCTGCCAAGTGACCCTATGTAGGTGGAACAGTCTATATTCTGCTCTGTGTCAGTGTGTATCATGGTCTCTGAGGACAGGTGTCAATCCATACCTGCCAAGTGACCCTATGTAGGGGGAACAGTCTCTATTCTGCTCTTTGTCAGTGTGTATCAGGGATCCTTAGGATAGGTGTCAATCCATATCTGCCAAGTGACCCTATGTAGGGGTAACAGTCCCTATTCTGCTCTGTGTCCGTGTGCATCAGGGGCTCTGACCATATGTCAAGGTGTCAATATGTCATATGTCAATCCATATTCATTGTGATTTAGGAATGTTAGGTGATTTCTGCCCTTTATGGATTAAAACCAGACTCTGTATCAACTGTGTAATTTTCCATGGGAGTTTTGCCATGGATCCCCCTCCGGCATGCCACAGTCCAGGTGTTAGTCCCCTTGAAACAACTTTTCCATCACTATTGTGGCCAGAAAGAGTTCCTGTGTGTTTTAAAATTCGCCTGCCCATTAAAGTCTATGGCGGTTCGCCCGGTTTGCCGGTTCGCGAACATTTGCGGAAGTTCGCGTTCGCCGTTCGCAAACCGAAAATTTTGTGTTCGCGACATCACTATTTGCTATTCTGTACCATGAGGACTCTGGAATGTGCTGTATATGGAGATTGGAGGTAGGGTCCTTATATGGGGAGTTTCCTTATATGTCCAGAGTTTAAATTAAAACTTATGATGTAATTTTGCCTATTAAGAACTAAGAACAGTGGACCACGTTCTCTTCTCCTACTCTCCGCTCTCCTCATCTGGTGTGTCCTGAATTGATGATGGAAAGAACACTACTTAAAAAGATCTCTCACTCTCTGTAACGGTAAGAAATACCATCTGTTAAGTACATTATTGTTTGCTTTTGAAGTAGAATAAATGCATATTTTTTATAAAGAACGTCAGATTGTGTATTAATACTTTTTGGTAAATATAGATGTATATTAACCTGGCGGCAGGGGCGTACCTGGAGCATTTGGCACCCAGGGCGGATCCTACATTTGGCACCCCCCAGCTTAAAAATGTAGAAAAAAAACCAAAGATGTTTTTACATGTATTGAGCACTGAGCAGTGTTTGTGTGTTTGAATGTAAGCATGTTTTTGTATGGAGTATGTGTGAGTGAATGTACGGGTGTGTTTGCACATATTGGCATTTGAATGCAGGTGTGCATTTTTCTGAAGTATGGTTTTTGAATAATGGTGTGTTTTAATGTAGTGTTGACATTTGGATGCGGGGTTGTATTTGTGTGTAGTGTAGGTGAAATGCTGAGATGTATGCACATAAACACACACTGGCACACAGACACATTGGGTGATGGTATGAGGGAGGGGGGTTGTTGGTGTGAGGGAGGTGCCAGTCAGTGACCCAGGACCTGACATAGTCTGCCTCGGGCACCCCGCTAGTGAGTGGCACCCAGGGGCGGACCTCCCCTCCCACCCATCCCCACTTAGTATGCCATTGCCTGGCGGGCCTATAACCAAAGAAGATATATATATATAAACATAGAAAACACAAACCAAGTTATTACAACTTACGGCTCCCATAATTGGTTAATGTTGCCATTGATCTATAAACCCCTAGACAAACTTTGTTTTATTTATACAATGTACTACTCATTAAAACTTTTGAATGCTTATTGATACTACATCTGTGTGGTGTGATTTCATGGAGTATTCTCGGCGCTGAGTAGAGACCTAAGAAAGAAAACAGAAAAGACCTGTGGTTGTAGTGAAAGTCCATGGCAGATACTTGCGTTCGGATACCCTGAGGTGTTTTTAACACTAACATTCACTTTTTGTGTTTTCTCTTGTAGAGTGGGTTTTCTTGGATACTGCACCTATTGCTTAGTTTGCATTTTTTTTTTTCAACATAGCAGTGTTATGGGATGACATCTTTGGCACAGATCAGTGTGTAAAATATCTGTCCTATTAGATTTTCCGATTTTATTGTAAGCACTGTTGTTGTGAAGTGGAAGCACTTACAGCCCAGCTACAATGTGGTAGATAATGCATACTTACAAAAAGTGCCACTGGATGCTGTTACATGTAATGCAGGGCTGAGTAACCTATGCAGAGCATTAAATGCTTCTAGAACCAAACATGCTGGAGAGATATGAGGATCTCCCCTGGAGCTGGCTTGACAGAGGTTCATCCAGGATTTCTTCTGATATCTGATAGTGTCACATTGCAGCAGGTGGTGAATGGCATCCCTCAATTCACTCATTGCAGTGCTGGGAGGAACTGATATAAGATCAATTCATCACAGGGCTTATAATGGAAAACCATGTAGGTGGAGAACAGCCCACCAAAGCATCTGCCTTTACCCTATACCCTATACATTGTGCATTGGTGGAAATACTGCAAATACCAGAATATCACACACTGCTCACGCACATACACATTACATCACAGCCAACATATAAACACATAAAATAAAAAAAAATAAAAAAAACACACATTTTATCTCATCACGATTAACGCAATCACAATGCAATCCATTCTGGTGTCAATAAGGAATTTTTGTTCTAGTTTGTTGATAAACTGTAAAATGTGTCAAACAGTTTTTTTAGCCTTCTTTTGGATCAACAGCAAAAACAGATGTGAGAAAGGCTTAAAGGGACACTATTGTCACCTGAACAACTTTATCTTAATGAAGCCGTTTTGGTGTATAGAACATGCCCCTGCAGCCTCACTGCTCAATCCTCTGCCATTTAGGAGTTAAATCCCTTTGTTTATGAACCCTAGTCACACCTCCCTGCGTGTGACTTGCACAGCCTTCCATAAACACCTGTAAAGAGAGCCCTAGTTAGGCTTTCTTTATTGCAAGTTCTGTTTAATTAAGATTTTCTTATCCTCTGCTATGTTAATAGCTTGCTAGACCCTGCAAGAGCCTCCTGTATGTGATTAAAGTTCAATTTAGAGATTGAGATACAATTATTTAAAGTAAATTACATCTGTTTGAAAGTGAAACCAGTTTTTTTTTTCATGCAGGCTCTGTCAATCATAGCCAGGGGAGGTGTGGTTAGGGCTGCATAAACAGAAACAAAGTGATTTAACTCCTAAATGACAGTGAATTGAGCAGTGAAATTGCAGGGGAATGATCTCTACACTAAAACTGCTTTATTTAGCTTAAGTAATTTAGGTGACTATAGTGTTCCTTTAACTTGATGGACACAAGTCTCTTTTCAGCTAACTGTGTAATATGTATCACCCAAACATAAAACAAGCAGGATCCACACGAGTTAATTGAAATGAAAAAGGCACATCAAGGGACTTTAACAATTTTGTACAGTGCTACTAGTGGATTGTCTACCTCTCGTGTAATGTGTAAAAATCATCTGTTGCAGGACGGGGCCTGATCGCAGAGCAGAGCAGACGCATGTTGCCACAGCTCCTGCATTATACTGCTAATCTTGCTAATTTTTATCAAGCATACAATGATGTACATATTCAGATTATGTTTTTCATTTAGTGTGGACCTTCTGTGTTTTAGAAAGTCATCTGATATTTAGTGATACTTGTGTACTTTATAAAATACTTAGCAGTGAAAGTTTTTCCAAAACTGAAGCTCCAGTGAGTTGACAGAAAGTTCACTCTGTGTGAGAATGTATCAGTGCATGTTTCAATTACATTTGAAAGGTCCCATCATGCTTAATATTAAACTGAGGTCAACCTGGAAGAACGCTAGAGTAGCCTATATGAAACACACAATGTTTGAATGCAAGAAGTCTAAAATCATATGTTAACCAAAATTCTACCAACGCAATATAAAAAATCAATGTAGCCAAATCTGGATGTATTATTTTAATAAAGTTTATGTAAAAAGAAGTTGTTCCACTCCCTCAATTCTTTTTTTTTTTTTCAGAAAATACATCAATTTGCTCTTTAAGACACAATTATGTATTAAAGAACAATATACACTGAACAAAATTATAAATGCAACACTTTTGTTTTTTCACAAGCTGAACTCAAAGATCTAAGACTTTTTCTATGTACACAAAAGGCCTATTTCTCTCAAATATTGTTCCCAAATCTGTCTAAATCTGTGTTAGTGAGCACTTCTCCTTTGCGAGATAATCCATCCACCTCACATGTGTGGGATATCAAGATTCTGATTAGACAGCATGATTATTACACAGGTGTGCCTTAGGCTGGCCACAATAAAAGGCTAATCTAAAATGTGCCGTGTATTGTGGGGGTCCAGATGGGTCCGAAAACCAGTCAGTATCTGGTGTTACCACCATTTGCCTCACGCAGTGCAACACATCTGCTTCACATAGAGTTGAGCAGGTTGTTGGTTGTGGCCTGTGGAATGTTGGTCTACTCTTCTTCAATGGCTGTGCGAAGTTGCTGGATATTGGCAGGACCTGGAACACGCTGTCGTATACGCAAATCCAGAGCATCTCAAACATGCTCAATGGAAGACATGTCCAGTGAGTATGCTGGCCATGCAAGAACTGGGATGTTTTCAGCTTCCAGGAATTGTGTACATATCCTTGCAACATGGGGCCATGCATTATCATGCTGCAACATGAGGTGATGGTCGTGGATGAATGGCACAACAATGGGCCTCAGGATCTCATCATTGTTTCTCTGTGCATTCAAAATGTCATCAATAAAAGGCACCTGTGTTCATTGTCCATAACATACGCCTGCCCATACCATAACCCCACCATCACCATGGGCCAATCGATCCACAATGTTGACATCAGCAAACCACTCACCCACACAACGCCATACACGCTGTCTGCCATTTGCCCTGTACATTGAAAACCAGGATTCATCCGTGAAGAGAACACCTCTCCAAAGTGCCAGACATCATTGAATGTGAGCATTTGCCCACTCAAGTCGGTTACGATGATGAACTGCAGTCAGATCGAGACCCCGACAAGGACGGCGAGCATGTAGATGAGCTTCCCTGAGACGGTTTCTGACAGTTTGTGCAAAAATTATTTGGTTATGCAAATCAATTGTTGCAGCAGCTGTCTGGGTGGCTGGTCTCAGACGATCTTGGAGGTGAATATACTGGATGTGGAGGTCCTGGGCTGGTGTGGTTACATGTGGTCTGTGGTTGTGAGGCCGGTTGGATGTACTGCCAAATTCTCTAAAAATGCCTTTGGAGACGGCTTATGGAAGAGAAATGAACATTCAATTGACGGGCAACAGCTCTGGTGGACATTCCTGCAGTCAGCATATCAATTGCATGCCCCTCAAAACTTGCGACATCTGTGGCATTGTGCTGTGTGATAAAACTGCACATTTTAGAGTGGCCTTGTATTGTGGCCAGCCTAAGGCACACCTTTGCAATAATCATGCTGTCTAATCAACATATTGATATGCCACACCTGTGAGGTGGTTGGATTGGACAGCTAAGGAAAGAATTCTCACCACCTTGCCCCTCACTTTCTCAACCTCACCTGAATCATGCCTCCCCAACCCTTCCGACCTTCTCCCAGGCTACTGAACAAGAGGTGGCTGCGCTTATCCTTTCCTCTCGCCCCACCACTTGCCCACTTGATCCTGTCCCGTCTCACCTTATCAGATCTCTCTCCTCTTGTCTTGTGCCCTCCTTAACACACATCTTCAACTGCTCTCTTTCTTCTGGCACTGCCCTGCTGTCTTTAAACATGCTACTGTAGTACCCATCTTAAAAAAAAACATGTCTCAACCCATCCTCCCCCTCTAACTATCTCTGATTGGATGTCCTCCCGCTTTCTGAAACTGAATCTTTCCAAAACAGAACTTCTTGTCTTTCCTCCTTCTAATATTAATCCTCCTCTCTCGCTCTCCCTTCAGATTGGTGGTACCCATATCAGCCCATCCTTACAAGCACGTTGTCTTGGTGTTACTTTTGATTCTGGCCTCACCTTTGAGCCTCACATCCGGTCTGTTGTCAAATCATGCCAATTCCACCTTAAAAACATTGCACGCATACGCCCCTTTCTTACACGAGATGCTACTATGGAATAGCTTGCCTACCACCATCAGACTTTCCCCTAGTCTTCAATTGTTTAAGAAGAGTCTTAAAACCCATGATTTAGGAAAGCCTATGGCCTCCCAGAGTAACCTCTACATCACATACCTGTCTCTTGCTCTCTCCTAAAGGGCAGAACTCTACTCTCTTCTCCAGCTCTGCTTCACTTCTACCTAATTTGACTGCTATTTCCTGTCCTAATGTGTTTTATACCCCACCTCCTATAGACTGTAAGCTCGTTTGAGCAGGGCCCCCTTCAACCTTTCTTTTCTGTAAGTTTTCTTGTAATTGTCTTATTTATAGTTAAATCCCCCCACTAATAATATTGTAAAGCGCTTCGGAATTTGTTGGCACTATAGAAATGGCGATAATAATTATCTCTGCAAATGAGAAGTGCTCACTAACACAGATTTAGACAGATTTGTGAACAATATTAGAGAGAAAGAAGCCTTTTGTGTACATAGAAAAAAAGTCTTAGATCTTTGAGTTCAGCTCATAAAAAATGGGGGCAAAAACAAAAGTGTTGCGTTTATAATTTTGTTCATTGTATATTGACCAATATGTATAAAACCATATAATATAAAATGCAGTCAGCTGTTGCAGAATATTTAATATCTTTACAGCCTCATCTTATCTGATACACATATTTATATAATATGTATGCATTACCAATTTACTTCGATATGCATAAACATTCATAATCTCTAGTCATAATTCAGTCACTTGGTTCACTTTCACTTTTTTTCTGGCTGCGTTCAGCCTCCAAGTTGCCCAAAAAGTCTCCTAATGATTCTCTAGCTCTAGTCCCTCGTCCTATAGTTTCATACAACTGCTCATTTTTTAATTTCCACTGGCGAAATGCTTCAGAGCTGATATCTGGATTGTCTAGGATTTGATTCAGTGTATCAAGTTCTGATAGCTTTGCCTGAGTGAGAGATAAAACAAGTAAGAATAAATACTGGAATAATTACAAGAAAAACACAAGAAGAGGAGAAAAGAGACAATGCAGAGAAAAACAGATTATAAAACTAGTGCAAAGAAAGTATTAAGGTAAAATTAAGCAATTAAGGAGTCAACTATATCAACATTTTGGAATTGTAATGACAGCTTTAGTTATTTTAAGAATGCAGTGCTAAAAGTACATTCAGAAGCAATATCTGGCTTACAGGCTCAGCTGCATGACCTTTTAATTCATATCATGCACTGTTTCACTTTATTGTACAAGATCTTGC